CGTTTTTTTTTGTTAAAATAAAAAAAGTAAGAAAGTATGTTGACGTAAGTGTGGCTCACTTTTAAAAGAAATGAATGCAAGTGCATATTTAAGTAGACATGCTCAAGCGGGGCTTTCGAGCTCAATTGCTAAGAGTGCGTGACTGTATCGGGAGGTGTGAGAGTTTTGGAGGAGTTTCCGCGCAATTTATCGAGGGTCATAGTCAACAATATTGAAGAGTGTCGCATTGCTACATTTCAACGTTATAGTTCCCCTTCCTTAAGATATTTTGGTTCGACCATCTCTAAAACTATGCTATGTACGCTTTTCTATTAGAGCATTTTTTACCCAGTTAAATGCGACTTGGTGTTTTGATGCTTCACTTACTTTGCATCATACACCTGCCCTAGCTTTCGAACCATTGAGGTTATGCCTTTAATGTTTAGAGTTTAAGGGAATTTGAGAATGATTAAAATTTCTTTAGGTCCTTTATTCACTAGTATTCAGCAATACTCTATGCAGACCTTTGCAGGAATTTAACTTCATTCTTTATACCAGAAGGAATTTTCCAGCTATTCCTATTCCTTCATTTCTTCTCTTTTCTTTTCTACTCTCTGCAAAAAGATGAAGTAAATTTGCTTGTCCTTGACAGTACCCTCTTCAATCAGATCACCCATGACGGTAATGCTGCAACTGCACAAACAGTCGTTCCCCTTCGTTTACAGTAATTAGCATTCCATATAGCCCTATATAAGAGGAACGTGCACGATTATTTGTAGGCAGATTCAAGCAATGTCACGAATATCCACATTTTTCTTCCTGTACACAGTCATTACCCACTCCTATTCACGTTATTTTGATGTCTGCCCTTCTAGGAAAATTTCCATTGGTGGTGAGCTTTAAATATTCTCATTGTAATTTCTTCAAGAAATTATATTCTGTGTATTTAGCTTGTCTTGCTGGGCTATGTCCACTTGGATCAGAGTGTATCAATAACTACTGTTGTAAGTGTAACTCTCCAAGTCCGCTAATAACTCTTCAGAAATCTTTTAAAGGTAAAGCTAGGATAGTTACAACAACTCCAGGAATTGAGGATATTGACTACTATGGGAAATGCAGGTTCGATTGACAATTCTAGAATTATTGGCTTGGTAGATGTTACCAATTCGACGTATTCTGGTAATCCGTGGTTTGCTCAACAAGAAAATCTCAGGTTTTTACCAAAATAAATCATCATAATCTCCTGTTCAGCGATTTTCGCATAGTATTCCAGAAACTAAAAAACAGACCTTGACAGATATTTCAAGGAAAGTCACCGAAATCTACCTTGAGGGTATTTAAGCATCGAGAAATTTTCCAAACACTTCTGCTCAAAATTCGTTGCAAGATTTCCAATTCAATCCCCTTTGGATTTTTTTGCACATCCCCAATTTTGAGACCTTGATGCATTTATTGGGGCGATGGATCGCATAGATCGTCGATAACATCGACTGTCTTGATCCAAGAAGTGATCACGCGTATCGGAGCCATTATTAGGCTTTCTAATAACGGAATATCCAATTCTTGTATGGTTTGGGGTTGGAATGTGTTTCGAAAGGTCTACATGGTCCTAATTTTTAAAAAAAAATCTTTGAAGGGAGTGTTTCATGAGGCTAAATCTTTAGATCAAATTCTGGAGTACGATTGGCCTTTCCAGAAATCCCTATCTCGACTTATCAAGGCACTTTAGAAAATCGATAGCCACCTTATTTCAGCTCTGTAGGTTGAATATTTAGATAAAACAAACTCAATTGTTAGCTTTATCTCGTCAAGATTTATGGTAGCTTGCATGTGGGTAGCAATGCATTCATTTAGGATCTGGTTCTACTGTTGGGATGATTTATTGAAACCACTGGTTTGAAATGTTCTTTTGTAAAATCAAATTCTAATTCAAGAGATGGACAGGATGCCATTGGTGAATGTGTATCGAAGCTTTGCCCGTCAGGTTACATTTGCGAAGAGGATTTATGCTGTGGTGAGCATCTTCTCACTTCAAAGTTAAGCAGCAATGGCATTTTGCCAAAGAATAGAAATTTTTCAAGCATATATCATCAATACAAATCACTGAATATTTGAAATTCTAAAAAAACTAGCAGATCTCGTAAGGCTTAAAAATTCCTTCTTTACGAGTATGAAATTTCTGAGCTTATAACTACTGGGGAAAAAAAAGTACCAAGCTGTTGCAAAACTTGATCAAATATCTTACAGCAAGTAACCAAACGACTATTGCTGAAACATCTCCTCCAATAATAGAGAGCACTACAGTGTGTAAGTAAGGAATGAATATTCTAAACATCTTATTTAATCTCCATAATATGTAAAAAACACTTTTTGTGTGCTTTCAGATACTGTCAAAGCAAAAACTTTCGTCCCCTTCACGTCTATGCCCAGTACATCGTCTACCTCATCTGTTTTTTCCTCTACTCCAGAAGAGCCGATAGAGATCGTCGAGATAATTGACATAACTGCTGAACCAAATGTGAACGTGTATAATACGACACCTCAAGTTGATAAAGGGATAGAGGATAAGGAGGAACAAACAAGTAAATGGATTGAAACTACTACAACGGATATGACGGAAATTGAGAGTATCAGACGTTCTTTCAAAGTGATCAAATCAAAGGAATCAAATGAAATTGAAGTAGGAGTGAGTGATTCTGAGCGAGAATTTCGCTAGAAAAATCAAAATGTTTAATTCCAGGACATAATAACAACAACGGCGGAAAGCACCAATTATGAAACAACGGAATGGCAAACCAAGGATGTCTCATCAACACCTTCAACTACGCAAGAAACAACGGTTACTACGATGGAAACGATGACTAACCCTGAATGGCAAACCACAGAATCATCCGTTGTTGAGCTCACAACAGAGCAAGTACAAATCTGTCCCATAGGGGATTCTATAGGAGGTTGGCTATGTTGTTTAGCAGGGGCATTTTAAAAAAACGGTCCATAATCATTTAAATCATTATTTTTGGATTGTTTCCCTCAAAAAGAATTAATTTCAGAATGCATTAGTGACCAGTGCCCGGAAGGACACACATGCTTTCAAAATGTTTGCTGTAAGATTTTTCTAACTAGTCGAAATCGCTATTTAAACCCAATTCTTATATATTCAGGTATTATAACTCCTCAGATCAATTGTACTGATACCCTCAAAGGATGCTTACCTCACCTATGCGATAAAAGAGGCTACAAAGAGTTTACAACGTTGAATTGTGCAAAAACATGTGCACGGTGTCATGTATCTGAGTTGGCAAGTGGAATTTTTTGTTCTCTTAGACCTTTACAACATATACATTGTAATCATTTAGGGTTCAACGGAGCTCATCAGATGTCGAGATCGTCGTTCCGATTGCAAAGAGTGGGTTGCAGAAGGTTTTTGTGAAAGTTTATTGTACTCTACCCGCCAAAAGTTAAGGTTTTGTGGGAAGAGTTGTAAGCTTTGCTAATTCTTCTCTAGTAAAAGTTGATTTTGTATAAAGCAATCTTAGCACTTCGTCTAATATGATATTATTATTGTGACATTGCCTATGCTGGTATATTCGGCCTCTTTCATCATTTATTCTTTAGATTTAACAGCACTTTGATAAAATATTAAACTCGTAGCTGTTAACGAAATTTTTTAAGATTCTTTCTTTGTCAAACAGAACATGCTTCAGTGGTGTTAAAATGTAACGATCTGTTGACTGTGTAAACTGAATATACAGGCAAATAGTA